TCCCAGAAAAGACTATGCAAGCTGCCAAGGAGGGAAGCAGATAAGTAGCCCTCTTTACCTGTAACATCTATGGAGCATGCCAATCACCAACATGGTATACATATATACATATAAACATATATACACATATTCATATAAAGGTGCAAGAAATATCGCTCTTGAGAGCAAAAAAGACTACATAGGAAGATTTAGAGTGGGAAAAGAGAAGGGGGAATGATATAATAATATTATAATATCAAAAAAATAAATAATTACTCAAAAAAGAGGTGGCACTCACACGTTGATGGCAGCCAACAGCTGTCTAGTTGGACTTAAGTTCCATTCAGCAGGAAGTAAATCATGTCTGCTACTGGAAACCTAGCCAGCTTTCCTGTGATAGTGAAGTCATGGACTTCAGAACACAGTCTAGTACCACTGCCGTTTTGCTAGACCACACGATTTCTTACTGCATTCTAAATTTTATCCTCATACCCACAGATAAGTGTAGCTACCGACCCTCATCAAAGAAGCTTCTCTTTACACAAATGGAGACCACCACAGAAAACCACAACTGCACACAGTGCAGAGGTCAGCAGATTGCAGGGAGCCCTCACAGATACATCTGCATCATAGTTGGCTCAGAGAACATCACAGAAGATGAGGTGGGGAGACTGAAGAGCCAGACTTCTAGGAAGTCTTTTATAAAAACAATCTCTCCTAGAAATGGCTGCATTAACAAGCCTGGGCCAATGTTCACATGTGAGGGGGTAACTTTACAGAGTCTCACCTTTAGACAAAAATCTACAGCTTTTAAACATTAGAAAGGTTTTATTTGTGCAGTTAATAGCTGTTAATGTAGACACTGTCAAAGTGCAGAGAATAAGTGTCTGCAAAGCGCTCAGCCACTGTATTGTGACCTCTGTATTATGGCCCCTCCCCAAAGCCCAGGGACCATCATGGAAGGAGGCCGGCTAGAGTGTAAGAGCCAGAGGCTGGGAAGTACCAGAGCAGTATATTCTGGACTTGCCAGGATGACTGCACTCACAGATCACGGCAGCTGTATTTGCCTGTCCAGGATCAAGCCAGTTACTATTCCAGCACCAAGGTGTGAAAGAGTCGTGAGCCCCGACTCCTCGTTGAGAAGTTACTGACAGTTGGTAGCTCTTGAGGGAGGAAGAGTCAGTTTTCTTTAAGGGTGTGGACCTTGGTAGGTCTACTTTACTTCAGTAGAGGGTCCCATAGTTTATAGGCAGTACAAACTAGAATTAGTAGGTTATGAAAACCAAACCAAACCAAGAGGACAGCAAGTTGGGCGGGTTTAGAGGGCTGGAGCTGGATCTGGGAGGAGTGTGAGTTGAATATGTTCTGAATACATTGTGTGCATATATGAAACTCAAAGAATATCAATAAAAATTCATGTTTAGAAGTTATGAAACATGGTTCTAGAGAGATGGCTCAGTGGTTAAGAGCATTGGTTGCTCTTTCAAAGGAGCAGACTTCAATTCCTAGCACCCACATGGCAGCTCACAGCTGTCTGTAACTCCAGTTCCAGAGGATCCAACACCCTCACACAGACACGAGGCAGGTAAACACCAATGCACATAAAATAAAAACAAATAATTTTAGAAAGTTATGAAACTTTTAAAACAGGACATTATGAAAAATTGGAATTTAACCAAAACTCAGGGATGCAAGCCTTACTTATACAGAGTGCCATTTGTAGTAGAATCAAATGTGGAGCTGCAGAATTAGCCACACAGGTACGGAACTACACAGCATGCAGATCCAGCTCCTTGGTGGGTTCAGCAGGGGAATAGCTGCCCCACGTGGTCTCCAGTCTCTGGTGGGCTTGGCAGTCCTGGCTCCCTGTTCCATCTCTACCTCCTGGATCCCTGACATCCTTTCCCCACATGTTTCTCTCATGGAGTCTTTCTATTTCTTCCTAAGATCTCCGGTCACATCAGGTTTAGAACCATCCAGAACAACATCTATGTGAACTCTACCTTCTGCTTAAATCACCATTGGGGTCAGCAAGATGGCTCAGGAGGTGGAGTCATCAATTCTGATGGCCTGAGTTTGATCCTTGGGACTCCTTAGGGTTGAAGGAGAGAAGTTCAAATTCAAGTTGTTCTCTTACCTGAACATGCATGGTATGGTATGCTTATTCAAATGCATGTGCACATACATGATAAATGTATAAAATAGCCTTAAAATAATCTTCATAAGTACTAGGGAGTAGGACTTCCTCAGATATATGGGAGCATATTCAACCTATAGTTCAATCTATAGCTCCACCCCCATAGGTCAGTGTCACTAACTAAAGGTTCTTCCTTACCCAAAGCAAGAATGTGCTTATTAACTTCAGCGTGCCCAATTTGTACTTTTATGAATACTCTTGTGTGTGTGTGTGAGAGAGAGAGAGTGAGAGAGAGAGAGGGGGAGAGAGAGAGAGAGAGAGAGAGAGAGGACTCTGGCACATCATTGATGCACTCAGGATGGACACATGACCTCTGGTGAGTGAAAAAGGATAGACTACGGAGCTTGTGTTGACATGTGACTCTTGGAGGACACACTGAGGTAGATTGTAGGCTTGGGTGGATATATCTGAGGTTGGAACTCTTGTGAGAAAATTAGAAGGGGTTTAGCAAACAGGATACGAAGGGAAGGAACAAGCGAGTTTCAGGTGAAGTCAAACTCACCCTGGTCCTAAAGGGATGTCGAGTCAGGTTGGCTTGGTGATAGGCTAGGCTTGGGCAGGCCCCAGGGACAGGTCACAGTGTAGGCTAAGTGTAATATCACAGTAGGTGGGGGTGCCACCACTGAGGGGTGAAGGAAATCCCACACATGGGGAGAGGCTCCAACAGAAACAAGACCTAGAAAGCCACCTTTCCTGGATGATGACACGACTTCCCTAAGGCACCACATGGATGCATGCTTCTACCCAGAATGCACCAGTGTTCTTGTTCCAGGTTCTCACCTACACATGCTCTCAGACTTGTGAGATTTTAACTGTTTCAGGAATGTGAGGGTTTCTTTGTGGGTTCTTTGATCATGAGTGAGTCTGGGCCCCTTTCCCTAGACTCTGACCACTTAGCCACCCTCCTCTGGAGCGAATGTGCTAAAGTTCAGATCTGGAATGTACTCACATGTACCTCTGACCTAAATGCTTGGTCTCTAGTTTGGCATTGTTAGGAGGTGGTTGATCTTTAAAGCAAAGCCTGGTGGAGGGGTTAGGTCAGTGGGGGAATGCTCTTGAAGAGACTGTGACCCCATAACTTCCTGTTCTTCCTCTCTTTCATGTCCCAGCCCATGGTGGAGCCATTTTGCTACTCACTGTAGTCATGATTGCTGAGCTGCTCCTCCCCAAGCCAATAGGGAACTCGGAGATGGGAACCTCCAAAGCCGTGAGAGAAAACAACCCTTTTTCTTTATGAGGCTCTCAGGTGTGTGTTATGGTAATAAAAGATGAACAACTCAGCACCCACTCATGATTTTTTGTCAGTTTCCTTGAAGAACCACCATTTTATTAATTTGTAAGAGCTCTTTACATGTTCAGGGCACACACCTTCCATGCCTTTGCTCCCTAGGACATTTTCTGAGTGAGCACTAGGAAAGTCTCCAGCCATTGATGTTCTGCACAGCTCCTCTCAGGTTTGGTTGCCTGTAAAGCCTGGGAGAGCAGCTCATGGTCCTAAGGACATGGGGTGGTGGTTGTCTTACCTGGGGCATCATCTACATGGGGTTCCCTGTGTTTTGTCAAGGTGCTTGTTCATAGAGAGGTCCTCCCACTTAGCCCTTCTTCCTTATTCTCCTCTGGTGCTGTGCATGGTGTAGCACAAACAGTCAAAAGCTAGAGGCTGGGAAAGGTGGGATGGCAAGTAGTCAGCCTTGTATATGTCCTGAGCCTCCGGCACTGGCCAGTGCACCCTTCCCAAATCCCTGACCAAGCGTAGCTGTATGTAGCAAGTGTAGCTGCAGAGTGGCTTGTACTACAGACAGTAGCCACAAGCAGGGAGCTGATCTAATACCCTTGAAGCTGCTATGGCCAGCATTCTGGAGCCCACAGGCAGTGAGGCTTTTGCTCATCAAGTGGATCTGGGGTCAAGGTGGATTCTCCAATCATTTTTTTTTTTTCCCAGAGGGCCAAGACCTGAAGGAAGTGAGGTTCTTCTTTTGAGACCTGACAGCTATCATGAAGAGGATGGAGGTGCCTGTTCTATCATGGGCTATATGGAGATTGTTGTCTTGTCATGGTATTGAAGACCACATGACTTGTCACAAGCCACACTAAAAATATTGCTCTAAACTAGTGGTTTCCAACCTGTGGGCCATGACCCCTTTGAGGGTCAAACAACCCTGTCACTGGGGTTGCATATCAGATATCCTAAATATCATCAGTATTGCATCATGATTCATAACAATAGCAAACTTGCAGTTATGGAGTAGCAACAAAATAGTTTTATGGTTGGGGGTGGTCACCACAACATGAGGAGCTGTATTAAAGGGTCGCAGCATTAGGAAGGCTGAGAACCACTGCATTAAACAAGGGGATAAGGAGACCCATGGAAGTTTCCTTCAGGTGTGGCTTTGTCTCCCAACAGTCCCTCCAGTCACAGAGTGGAATAGACAACCTAGTGGCCCACTCAGAAGATCCTGGGCTGTGTCTCTGGGAGGGGACCTCAGCCAGCTGTGGTGGTGGTGGAGCGAGGGCCTGCTTCTGGATTTGGATGGAGCTGACCGAATGCTAATGAGAGGAGGAGGGCTGGAGGGAGGTGAGCAGGGTGAGGACTGCACTCAGCACACGTGTGAGGGAGTTCACAGATGAACTTGAGCCAGGCTTGGGAGAAGCAGGTGTGGCTATGTACAGGGGGTGGAGAATGGGGAGGAAGGGTACTGGGATGAAATAAAGAGTTCTCTCTAGAGGAGCTGGACCCATTCCTTGCCCCATGTGTGAGCAGGTGAGCTGGGTGTTGTACATAAAAACAGAGCAAGCAACACATGGCAGCATGGATGAGCCTGTTTCCAACACATATTTCTTTTATTGTTTATAAGAACCCACACAAGGTACTGGCGATGGAGTCAAAAACAGATGCTGACAACACCTGGATTTCTACATGGAGCCGCTCCTCAGAGAGGACACAGCAAACCTGACCTTTTTCAGCCATACTACCTCGTGTCAATGCCCACTTGCAGAGAATGCCTAAGGTTGACTCTCTCAGACACATGGTGCCATTTCTATGGGACACAGGCCAGGCCAAAGTTCACATTTATTAGCTCAAGGGAAAATCATGACATCTACTTTTCACTGCAGGGGCTAGAAACAGAACTCTGTGGGCAGGTTGTTCTTGGCCTACCTTCTTCCTAGGGTATTGCTAGTTACTCTTCAGCGAACAGATTTGAACACACTAACCTTGCATTTTGAGAATTATTACTCACACATAAATATGATTTTAAAAAGCCATTTATAACATGGATAATGTCCACTGATGGGCAGAAGCCTGTGGGAACTCAAACCCAAGTGTGGGTGCCTTTCCCCAAAAATCAGGCAGGGCTCGAGGCCAAGAATATGATCTTCAGGTTGCCTTGGGACCCTGTGCAGAACAGGTGTCCAGGAGGTGGCTATTGAGGAATACACTTTCTCTGTGGCCTAGAAGTCCATACTGAAGTGACCGCAAGCTGACCAGGTCTTCCAGGGGCCAGGAGTAGGGGTTGTCTCTCAGCCTTATTTTATGAATTCTATCTATCTCAGCTCTAAAGGAAAAACCACAGAATCTCTGGTCACCTGCACCAAGACCCTTATTCCTCCATGGCTCAGAACAGACCCTGTGTCTGTAATGTGTGAACAGGATGCCAAGGTCATGGTGTCTGCTCAGGGCCAAGCACCAGGAAAGGACTTGGCATGTATTAACTGTCTTTCCTACCAACAGCAAAATAGGATACTTGACATTGTAAATTTAAGCAAAAGAAATGATCTAGGCAACTACTGTGAGCACAAGGATTGTGGTACAGTGTATATACAGGTACCAAGGTCCCGCTCCTAGAATGCAGGGAACAGTATGACCTGTTCTTCTAGGGTGGCCACAGATGGGGGAGTTAGCCTTGCAGGGAAAGGATGCCAGCCAGGCATTTTCCACCCCGTAGGGACAGTGACATGGTTGACCTCACTGTGTAGAGGTGTGTGTCTTACAGCCATACACAGACAGATGCCTCTTTGTGGCATGGATTGGGTGTGAACAGTCAAAGCCCAGGATTTGATTAATTTTCCATACATCAAAGGGGAAGAGTGGAAGTGGCCTTCCTTTCTTGGCGCTTGAGTTTTCTTTTGCGATCTCCCTGTCCCTGCTGTTGTGAGATGGCCTGCCTGGCTGCTGTCTCCTTCCACTTTACACCAACAGCCAGTGGCGGAGCTGGAAAGAAAGCATCATTTATTCAGAAGTGAGAAGCAGACCATGGCTTATGGGCCACTGAACCTATAACGAAATCAGGATAGACCCAACAGGTGGCACCACCCGCCCATGGGGAGGGAAGCTTACCACTAATGGATGCCACTCTTTAGGGGCACCAAGGGCCAATGACCTGGTGTCAACTTTTAAGTACTAAATTACTTGATGAAGAAGAGACCTTGGAAACAAGCCGCAGTGGCTAATATCTGCAATCACAGCCCTCAGGAAGCTGGTAGGAGGAGTAATATGAGTTCAAGGTCAGCCTGGGCTACAGTAAGATTCTGTCATGGTAGGGGGAAAGTAGAATAAAGCAAAACAAAGCAGAATCAACATCACAACAAATAACCAAGTCTTTTGGAGCTCAGTTGCTTAGAAGATCAGAGTTCTAGCTGGCGTATTTGTGACTAGAAGCTGGGGTAAGAGAAGCAGAATATCTTTAGATCCATGTTGTCCTCTGCTGACTCCTTGGTGGCCCAGCAGTGTCCTTCTTCCTTGCATACTGAAACTCTCTTGAGGTCCTCCTAGGGAGTGCTGCCCTGAAGCCTGCTTTGCTGGGTTGATCCAGCAAAGCAGAAAGCAACACGTGGGTGGCTTAGGGACTGATCCCAGCGGCCCACTATTCTGCTACTTGCTCAACCCGTTTCTAATCACAAGGCATTTGCTGACACTGACTGATGAGCTCTGCGATGCTAAATGTTTTCAAAACATTGCTTGTAACACTATTGTCTGACATACTGAAGCAGAGGTAGAAGAGAGGCCACAGCCATTGCTGCCACATGAGAATCTCTTTGGTTTCCTCTCAAGTGGCTCTTTGGGGCTTTTTCATTCCTGGTCTGGACATGCCACAGCATAGCCTAGCATGGGTCTAGCCTAATGTAGTCTGCAGGTTAGGCCAGCATGGGCACTGGTCAAGTGTGGCATATGGCCTGGGGAAGAAGCAGAATTCTACTTGAGATGATGGCCAGAATACTCTCCAAGTATTGGACAGCAAGGGCTACAGCCCTGCCCCCTCCGGCCTTGTTGCCAACAGAAGAAGGTGATTAGGTGATACTTTCAAGAGAAAGGAGGCCACAGGCTAACTTATATTTTCAAAAACTGGAAACATAGAGCTCTGAACAAGGATCATTAAAAACTGTAACTCAGAACCCAGAATCTAGAGTTCAGAATCCAGGATCAGGGGTGTTGCATTTGGCACAAAATAACACAGAAATGTGTGGGACACTAGAGTGTGTCCAGAGATATGTGTTCTCCTGGACAAATTGAGGCTCAGAATGTAGTTACTAGAGGAGTGGATGTGATTAGGGAGATAGGAATAAATTATGGGCTGTTGACATAGTGTAATATTACTGGGCAGGCAGAAGTAGATGGACTAGAGCCATGCCCATATTTCAGATCAAAAGAGAATGAGAAGACTGAATTTACTCTACCATCTGAAATGGCCCCAATTAAACACCATGTGTCCATGAGAATTGCAAGACACTGGACATCAGGTGGCCATGGTTAAGTGATACCTCAAGAAGAGTGAATGAGGCAGCCACCCACCCTGGTGCTTTGAGGGCCTCAGAATTTCAGAGCAGGGCAAGAGCCCAGAGAAAGACCTGGAATGTGGAAGACCCATGTGGCTGGAGCTTTCAGGACAGCAGCAGGGAACACCTGGAGAGTTGGGCTGATCTTGAGCGGCATGCATGACACCCAGGGCAGCTTTGTGACAGGATATGGGAAGTGGCATCAAGGGACCTGTGGGGGCTGGAACAGTGCCCACCCCTGTTGGAAATCCTCCTTACTGGAGCCTGTGCTGCTGCGGCAGAGAGACAGCTCTAAGGCAATGCCTCTTGGGACCCACCCAGCAGATCTTAAAAAGCCCACCTCCAGAGCTCCAAGGAGCTCCAAGAGTGTTTAAAGGTATTGAAAAATATCCATCCAGGTGTGTTGACACATTCCTTTAATGCGAAACACTCAGAAGGCTGAAGCATGTATATTTCTATGAGTTAGAGGCCAGTCTGATCTGCATAGCAAGCTCCAGACCAGCCAGAGTTACATAATGAAATTCTGTCTAGAATAAAAACAAAACAAAATATCCAATACATTGGGGGCTAGGAGATGACCCAATTGATAAAGTGCTTGCTTTTGCTAGCATGAGGACCTGAGTCCAAACCCAGGAAATCTGGGTAGAAATGTCAGGCGTGGTGCTTGTGCTTATAATCTCTTCTTTCTTTCTTTCTTTCTTTCTTTCTTTCTTTCTTTCTTTCTTTCTTTCTTTCTTTCTTTCTTTCCTTCCTTCCTTCCTTCCTTTCTTTCTTTCTTTCTTTTCCTTTCTTTTTTTCTTCCCTTCCTTCCTTCCTTCCTTTCTTCCTTTCCTTCCTTCGTTCCTTTCTTCATTCTTTCTTTCTGGTTTTTTTGAGACAGGGTTTCTCTGTGTAGCCTTGGCTGTCCTGGACTTGCTTTGTAGACCAGGCTGGCTTTGAACTCACAGAGATCTGCCTCCCTCAGTGCTGGGATTACAGGTGTGCACCACACACCTGTGCTTATAATTTTAATGTTGGGGAGGGAGAGCCCGATGTATCCTTGGGATTTGCATTAGCAAGCCTAGCCTACTTGGTGAGCTTCAGACTAATCAGAGATCCTGTCTCAAATGAATCAGATGGCATCCTACTTCTGAGAAAACTACTAGTAAGGATGACACTCAGAACACTGGAGGGTATAACTCCAGCTTCATGGGGATGCATACACATGCTTTTTGTGCTGCTCCTCCAGCAGGAGGAGGAGGAGGAGGAGGAGGAGGAGGAGGAGGAGGAGGAGAAGCCCCAGTAAGCAAAGTCAGTCACTTGACACTGACCCCAACTGACAGAAAGGTTCAACTCTCAGATAACTTCACTGTATCTGTTCAAAAAATTAAGAGGAGACAGGGAAGATACAAATACACCCCAAATGAACATCAAAGGAAGAAACTGTGACAGGTAAAAGGGTAAATACTCTCTATACAGGCTCACAGAAAAACATCAATTGATTTAAAAATGAATAGATGGATCAATAAATTGATTCATGGGAACTTGATCCATGGGAGATGCATCATAAAGCATCGGAAGAATACAGAGTAGCAGGGAGAGAGCACACAATCCATGGACCAGAGACCAGAGCCACTGTGCAACTGTGTCCCCGAAGTCCAAATTTAAAGGTCCAAATGTAGATAAGAGTCCCAAAGGACCCAGGCATAAACTCTAGAGCCCAGAGGCAAAACAGGAGAACAATGGAGGGTTTTTGTTTTTTTGAGACAAAGTTTTTTTTTTTTTTTTTTTTTTTTTTTTTTTTGTGGAGACATGGCCATCCTAGAACTTGCTCTGTAGACCAGGCTGGCTTGGAATTCACAGAGATATGTCTGCCTCTGCCTTCCCAGTGCTGGGACTAAAGGTATGCGCCACCGCCCAGTGCAAAGGAGAAATTTTAAAGTGCAGCCATGAAGGGCCCTTAGGACGAGGGGTCTGGGACCTTTCAGAGACACAGGCAACATGAAAGGATCACAGTCACATGAAGGTGAGGAGGGTTATTGTGAGAGGTCGTTAAAGAGATGTCTCAAGGACTTGTTTTTGAAAACCCAGAAAATGATCCTAGAAGGAAAAAAAAATGCACAACAAAAATATAGTGAAGTCATGAACAGCAAGTACACTTGAGCCTGGAGCATGGGTCACACAGAGTAATAACACAGTAAACCCACAGCAGCAGTGTCTAATTGTGGGTTAAAAAGATTGGCACGGGCCGGATGGTAAACAGTAACAGGATTTAAGTCATTGTAATTAATATTCATGAGGTAGGTTGAGATATTAACTTTGAATTTTGAGAGAAATATGTCACCCTCCAAGATAACTATTAAAGGAATTAAAGAATGCAGGTTCCAAGCAAGTGGAAGCAGATGAGTGGAGTAAGAAAAAGCAAAAAGATCAACCAACAAAAAGGCAACAAGGGTAAAGGAAAACAAACACAAAACAAGGCAGACAGAATTAAAGGGTAGTAAGACGAAGCTCCTTTATATGTGAGTGACTCAGTCAGCCATGTCAGATCATCAGGGTGAAACCTGAGGCTTAGGTTAGTGTTGCAAAAGATAACTAAGTCTTAGGGCCACTGAGGAGGAGAGAGGGATGGCTTCATACAAGTCAAAGATACCAGGTGCCACTACATTCACCACCAAAGGGGAGCCTTAGAGCAGAGAGCGACATTACAGGGAAGGAGTGGCCTCCCAACAGCATGCTCACAGCACATGTCCCCTGCCTGTGTGACACAAGAACTCACCTGGCTCCCAAAGGAGGGAGGACAGGAATGAATGAAACCAGGGGCCTGAGGGACCCCACTCCCCAGGAAACTCCCCAGCCTGCCTGCCTCCTCCACAGACATCTGGCCAGGCTGGACTCCAATCACTCAGTTTGGCCTCCCTGCCCTTAGGTACCCTGATGGACATCTGACTAACTCCAAGCTTTCATGAGCTTTCCCCCTGTAACCCTCAGCCCACCTGGCTCTGCCTCCAGAGCTGCTCCAGCCCTCTGTCTCATACTTTTCTTGTCTCCAGGAATGGGGGGGCATAGACTCCAGAGACTCTCATATTTGTCCCCACAGGGCTCTTTCCCTCATGTAGGCATCCCTGCCAATGCCACCCTGGCTGCTCATGTCCATGGACCTCTTCTACTTGCTGGCTGCCCTGTCCACAACCTAGGGCTTCTGGGTGGCCCTGGCCAGCACCAAAGATCTACTGGTGTGGCAAATGCTTTCCTGTACACAGCTTCCTGGTCTTCTGGGGGATGTTAGAGCAGCTATGGGGTGAGGATACTATTCAAGTCTCCCTGAATCCTCTCCCTAAGGGGTGAACAGGGTGTCAGACTCACCGTGAATTGGCGCACCTCTCCTCTGTCCACTAGCTGGCGGTCTTTCTCAGGTGTGATGGCATAGGCCAGTTTCTAAGAGAGAGTGGGATTGTTGGTATAGCATGGGGCCTGGGTTGGCACCCACTATAATAACAAGGACTCCTCTGAAAGGAGTGAGGCTCAGGGCCACAGCCTGAACAGGCCTTAACTCTGAGTGAGGGCAAACCAGCGATGCCCTGAGTACAGCAGTGCAGTCTCTCAGAGGCTGCGTGTGTGTGTCAGGGCCTGTCACGTTCCCCTGTAGAAAGCATTGCCTCTATCTCCTAATCTGTCCTTGAAGTCCAGACGTCATGTGGGCTCCCAGAATAGACTTCAGGTCCCAGGATTGCCTTTGAACCTCATTTAGACACTGTGGAAGCCCCATTCCTTCTAAAAGTTTGGGGCTGTGCCCTGGCCACACACTCTGATGTCTGCTCTAGACCCAGTCCAGCCTGACTTACAGAGGGACCTCTGAGCGCCAGTGAGATGAGGGACCTGATGAAGTATCCAACATCAAGGGCACTGTGGCTCCAAGGTGCAGTCCTTGGCCCCGTGGGTGCAATGTGATTTGCTACTTCAGAAGCCCCTGGGACTCAAGTGTAGGATTGTCTCATCATTCCACTCACAATTCCAGTCCTAGAAGTTCTTATCTCTTCCAGGAACAGTAGCTAGGTGTGTCAAACAGGCAAGCGGGCACAGACTGTCATCACACAGACACAGGGATGCAGAGATGCCATTCATACAGATACTGGCACATGTGGGCACACACCAGACAAGTAGGCACGCATAGTCACAGATGTGATCTGCATCCATACACACCAGCATACATACACACAAATACGTCATATACACATGTGGCCCTTTTTTCTGTTGAATAGGTACATCACTCCATCACAATCTTACCTCTTCCCTCCTGCTGGTCAGCCAGGGATGGGGATACCACCTGAATCATTAGAGTGAGGAGCCCCTTAAAAATACCCACCTCTCTGAAGGACCCTGGCAGGCTGCAGAACTTATAGGTGGCATAAATGGGTACCATGGCCATGGAGGACGTGGCGATGATCCAGCCCAATGCATTGGCCCAGTCTGGGAAGATGTAGGCTCCATAGTGTGGGGGTCTGAAGGTCACAATGCTGACCACGACCACATACTGAAAGAAATGGGTACAGAGATGAGGCAGCTTTTGCCGGTCAGTGTGAAGATAGAGCAGGAAATCAGCAAGCTTTCTACAGAAGCTCTCCTAGCTACACGGGCCAGAAGCGCCAACCACAGCCAGGCTACCCAGGCCTGCCCAAGCAGTACAGTATCCTCCTGGGGCACCAATGCTGTTCACACATACCTGTGCATAAGTGTGCTTCCAGGCGTGCCCGCCAGACTGCTAGTACCTACGCTATACACCAACACATGCTCTATGCATCTGCACCCTATGCTTGCGTGTGTGCAGGGTACCTAAACGTGTGCTTCACACCACACCTGGACTTTGCCCTTGCACATGGCTGGCATGAACAGCACACCTACAGAGTTCTTTTATCTGGGCACACTAGCCCTTCCTAAACATAGGAAGTCCAGCAGATGTGGGTTAGGATGTATTTTGGGGTGCAGATCCTTACCTGTTGTGTATATTTCTCAGGGTCAACAAAGCTTACTGTCCAAAGACATCTTAGAAAACACACTTGGACACACCTACCTCACACTTGTTTTTGGTTTCAACAGATGACACATTTTTTTTTTTAAAGAAAGCACTGTGCCTGTCAAAGCCACACTCCTGCGTGTTACTTGATTTTTACCCGGTCAATTTGTTTGGGTTGTTTGGGAATGTTATCTGCTGCAGAAGTCACATAGGCGCACATGCCTGCCCTGTGCATGGTCTGTCGGGGCCACATGGCAACACAGTGACTTAGAGGAACATGAAATAACATTTTTTTTTCCTGCTAAGGTTTTAACTTCATCTGGGATGGGTTTAAAATTAAGCTTAAAATTGCAAAAATCATGCTTCCAGGAAGTTGGTAGACTGAACTGTGTAGCATAATTTAAAGATTTTTTTCTTTTAATCTAACACTCTGCAAAGCAATGTGGAATGATGCTCAAAAGACTTTGTCAAGCCTCCTGAGATCAAGTTTTACGCTGGGCAGCAAGCTTGTCAACAGGGAGAAGACAGAGACGGGATAGTTGAAAAAACATCAACTGTTTCAGTCAGATCCAAGAGGCTGGTGCTGCCGGGGTTCCCAGGCGGGTCCCCTGCCCACTGACATGCTGCCTCTATTTTAAGTATGACCACTGACTGTGCATGAGTTTCCCCCAGGCTGCAGGGGGCTACCAGTTGAATCTACATCGCTGCTAACTATTGCACAGAGCCAGGCGAACTCTCAGGCATTCTTCTCAGCGATCTCAGGGCATTGGGATGGAGTCAGAGGCAGGAGCACGAAGTTTTAGGGCCCACAGTCCTTACCAGGAGGAAGCAGGGACTGACCAGCTTCCAGCAGAGCCGCCAGTACAGGTTGGGTCGCTGCCCTGTCATCTGCTTGATGTCATCGCTGAACTGCTGCACGCCTAAGCGGGAAGAGGTGGCCATGGGCTGGTCACAACACTGGACACACGTAAGTTCGTTTTGACGCTAAGGGCCAAGCCCCTCAGATCCTGAAACCCTGATCCCACTCAGCCATATAGTGGATGACGCTGATGGGGCTTCAGAGAGGCCTGTGGTCTGTTGGGTGAGTGGAGGGGCCAGCAGTACTTAAGTCCTACCCCCAGTCAGCTCCTTCTTTGGGCCCCACAGCCTCCCTACCTCCTTCAAACAGTAATTCCCAGCTTGTTGAACAGCGTGGCGGAGTGCATCAAACACAAAACTTACTATTCTGAGGGTCATCTCAGTGGCTGCATTGATACCTTCTATCTTCAAAATTTCTTTTCATCTTCCCCAGCTGAGACTTTGTCTGTTCTACTCCAACTCCCACCTTAACACTTAGCATTCCACTCTCTGTTTCTAGGGACTTGGCCCCTTGAGGGATCTTACGTAGGTGGCATGATGGTATATGTCCTTTTGGGACTTGCTTGCTTCAGTTAGCAAGTGCATCTCTGAGGTTCATCCATGTTAGAGCATATGTCAGAATCTACTTGTTTTTAAAGGCTCAATATTCCAGTGTGTGTACTGATTTTTTAATTTAAAGTTATCTCTACGTACTTTGTAACTGCTATTTTCTCCCAGCAGTTTACTTTAGAAACATCTATCTTTCAATGACATTTTCCAGCTTTTCTTATTCAGGAATTGGTAAGGAGATCTTGGTAATTGGTAATGGTGACTTCTTCAACCCACTTCTGGACTGGTCTTTGGCTTACCAGCCTGCAGTGGCATGTCTAGCTTTGGAAAGCTTGGAAGACCTCATGGTCTCATCAGAAAGAGTCTCTGACTAGAGCTCCAATCAAGGTCTTCTGCTTAGAGCTTCATTCATGTTCCAGGGCACCATTAGAACCCCACTGTGGCAAGATGACTGGGGATGGGTTGGGAAGAATGGGCCTCAGCCAAGTTCATGAGGTCCTCAGGATCCTGAAGCTCAGCTCCTACCTCATCCAGCTTCAGACCCCCAGGGACCTTAGATCATTACATGGCAGATGGAATATTCTCGCAGAGGGACCTATGGTTCGACCTTATACATAAGCAACTTGGCTGGTATAGAACATACACGTGAGGCACAGCTGTGGGAAGTGGCCATGGTTTGACATCCCTCTCACAGACCAACTGAATTATCTGATCAAGGTCCCTGTATGGGCTGTCAGCGGCCCAGATAGAGCTGAAGCTCCTCTGTGCTTATTACCAGGGTCCTGGCTAGCTGGATGGGGCATTTGCCTTTTGCCAGTAGTTGTAAAGGGTCCAGCACCCCAATAAGCCTTACTCTCCCACCCAACACAGCGTCTCTGAGTATCTTGGACCACAACATGTCTTCCCAGGCAGCCACTTGACTGTCCTTCTTGATCCAGTATACAGACCCTGGTCACCTACCCTGTGATGCCATGAGAGCCATGACTTAAACTTCTGGAGTCCAAATGCCCCTTTTCAAAGTGGGTTTTCCAGAAGGCAAGCCAGAAGACACTAGCCTGGTTGACACACTGATGCCATAGTGCTGGTCTGACCACCAAGACTTACCATAGAACCAGGCCACCCCAATGGCTTCAATGAGCACACCAAAGAGGATGGATGTGCCAGCTGCAAAGTGGTCCAGCAGCGTGAAGACATAGATGCCACCCTGGAAGAGAAGGGGCTCTCAATGAACTCGGGGACAGCTGCAGCAGCTCCACCATCAAAATACTTTCCCTAAAAGATAACCCATATTGTGTGTTCACTGCGGAGATATTTCTTATTTACCCCTATAAAGTTTGATTTGAGTCATGGATTCACATACAGTTTTTTAGGGACACATCCATTACAATAATTCTCCCCTGCTTTTCTTTTCCAGGCTCCCAAAAACAAGAGCCAGAAACACTCAAATGCCAAGCTTGTTGGTGTCTCCTGCATAGAAGTGGCCAAGACCCCACAGACAGGCCTCTGCCACTTTCCAGCCCCTCTTCACCTTCAGAAAGGCAGGCAGCTTCAGGTGCAAGTGCATCCTGGATGCTGTCTGAGTCCTGAATTATCTCCGGGACTAGGCTCCAGACCCATGGCTGCCCTGACTGTGACTACAGGGAAGGAGGTTTACATGAGGGAGAGGATGAGGCTTCTTAGAAATGATTCAGTGTGTCTGTTCCCATGGCACCAGCTGTGTGCCAGGCACCAGGGCAGACATGACAGGAGCAGGCAATTACATACATTGGTGACGCAGAAGAGAGACAGCAGGAAGGTGGCCAGGACAATGCCAAGAGTGAAGAGCTCCCGATGCCGATGTAGCAGCTGGAATTCATCAACAAGTCCCGTGATCACAGACTCCATGCCCCCCATCTGTGGGACACAGAGAACAGTGGTTGGCACTACTTTCCCAGGGCCTGACTTCTCATCTAATGAGCGTACACTAGGCCTGTGTGTGAGGAAGGGAAGGTACAGCTGACCTGGGATAAGATGAGGAAAGAGCCCTTGCTGAAGCTTCCTTGGCAACACAAGCCTCAGAAAGAGTCCAGGAATGGCAACCACAGTCACCTTGGAGTCACTAGGTCTATGAACGGCTAAGTGGCCAAAAATCTTATGAGAATGATGGAGTGAGTGGATGACCAAAGCAAAATGTCCCTCCTGCAAGCATAGCCCTAGGCTGGGCATTGGGTATGTCCCCAGGTTGCACCACAGTGGAGCTAGCCAGGCAGGACCTGTGGTCTGCAAGCTATGCTCAATAGATGTGCCTTCTTGAATGCATGACAAGAAAGCTGTTGGCTACCAGTGGGGTGGAAGATGAGGATGGGGCTGTGGTGTAACATCTGCATTCTTGGGACGAGGGATTCCTGGGTCAGGCTTCCCAGGAAGCTTAAAATAGCTGTGCTTTGTCAGGGTGGGTAAAGGGCATGAGCCGCCAAAGGTGCCACCAATCAAGTCTGATATTAGGACTCAATAAATAGTCTCGAGCACTTGATGGGTCTGAAGGAGTCTAAGAAAGCTTGTTGGCTCCACCTTCTTTGAGGCTGGGCACCAGGGGGCTGCAAACAGTTTCCAAGGCCCTGCCTGGTCAGCTTCCATCCATCATAAGGGAGTCCAGAGGTCAGGGAAGGCCTTTTTGTGCACCCTGAAAGCAATCACTCTGCCATTCTGAGGCAACTTTTTGGCTTTTGGGACTCTGCTCTGTGTATGTTCACACACTGGATGAGGGAGAAAAAGGGTAAGTTACATTCCGATCACTACCACTTAGGTCTGGAGAGGCGCTCCGGTATTCATGTGTTTGAACCTGCTGTGCAGCTTCCGTGATAAGCACATGGTATTTGAGGGACTGTCTGGGGTCACGCTTAGCCCCATAGGGGCAGTGTCCTCCAGGAACAGGCTGACAATGAGGCATGGTTGTGGAGCCTTGGGGTAGGCATTACTCACAGCACTGTCGATACCCAGAGTGAGCAGCATGAGGAAGAAGACAGCAGCCCAGGCCGAAGACAGCGGGAGTGTGGCAATTGCCTCAGGGTAGATGATGAAGATCAACCCAGGTCCTATAGGCAGAAACCCTCATCACTGCTACAAGCTTGCCTCCTGCTTCCCTGCTTGTCACAGTTTGCTTTTTGTTGCTGCCCCACAACCCTGTAAGGCCACTCAGCCGAGCCAATGCCAGCAGCGCGCAGATTACTTGGAACTCCCTCCCCCACTGCTTTTCTCCTGTTTCTCTAGAGGGTCCTCCTTCCTGAGAATTGAGCAGACACTGGCTGAGGTGCCCCGGAGCACTTGGTAGATGGCCGCCTGAGAGCTCCTGCTCAGCCAGCTTGCACCCTTGTTCTCCGCGTCACGTATGTCCACAGGGATCAGAGAAAGGCAGGTACTTCTGCTGCAGACAGACCCTGATTTCTTTCAGTTAGTTTTTTTCTGCACAGATCATACATGCACCCCCTACATGTACACACAAACTCGAACACACATGCATGCAGCACACACAAGCCCATGTATATAGTCATACCAACATGCAAAGACATACCACACAGGCAAGGACACGTATGTGCACAAATGTGTACACAATGCACACGTTCTCAAGCTGATTTTTATTTACACGAAGCGCTACATCTAGGGTGCTCCTGACTTCTGCCCTCTCAGCATACGAGAAAACAAGACTCCCCCCTCCCCTCTGAAGTTCTTGGCATCCAGTGGCTGCTCTGGCTTTGCAATGCAGCATGCAATGTCACCTTCAAGTGAATCTTTCCTAGATAAGCGGGACTTTTGTCACCCACTGGCCCTGCAGCAGGGGATCCTGGATATTTAGTTGAGAGTTCACCCACTGGGGTCCTGAGGGGTTTGGAAGGGTAGAGCATACCACCAGTCCCAAGAGGACGCACAGAGAGAAAGCAAGAAATGGTGCAGCCATAAGCCGCCAAGAACCACGGTCCTGTCTGACAAAGGGTCTGAGGCTGGAGGGTTCCCAGTGTTAATCTGTTACCTTGTATCTTCGTCAAGAACAAGGGTACATCAGGCCACAGTGACACTTCCAGGGTCAAAAAAGTGTCTACCCCACGGCTTGCTGGGAGCACTCCATCCTCACTGCCAGCCGTGACGCCAGTATGGACAGCGGCAGCACACCATAGGGGCCACACCAACACAATGCAACCTAATTTCAGATGATTCCTAAGCAAAAAACACTCACCTGTGTAACTCAGAGTCGGCCATTTTTGAGACTCAGCTTAGCGACAGGGCCCCTGATTACAGGCTAGACCCTACAATTCTACAAATAGACTTGGAACTGGTTGTTTCTGGTCCCTTCTCTCCCCCTTCAGCAGGGCTCACTTATCAGTCTTCACAGAGTTAAAGACCAGGGCTGGTATACCTCCTGGAAGTCTGCAGGGCAGGTCTAGGCTCCATGCAGTTGACACACTGTCCAAGTGGATAGGGCAGTTTTCAACACAGGGCAGTACTCAAGATTAAATGCTACAAACCCTGAACCTGGGAAATGATCCTAGATTGACATCAAGCCCTTTGTTTTTATATCTTAGTTTTTCGGCTGGAGTTCTGAAAACTGGTTGTAAATGACTTTTGTTTTGCTTGCCAGGAAAGGGACAGAATCTGTCAACTTTACTTTCAGGGGTCAGGTTTTGCCAACTAGAGCTGATTATCAAGATAAATTGGAAGGGGTCTTCTGAGTGTGAAGGTGAGAAAACTCTTGGCTGTGTTTCTCTGCCTTATCTTTCCTCTCCCACCTCGACTGTGCTTTCCTGGAGGAAAGAGCAAGGATGAAGAAGTCCCAGGCACCACCATACCTTCTTCCAGGTCCAGAACCTCCCTCTTGACCCCAACCTGCTTCCTGCTTGTGATGTGAGGGCCCTGATAGTCTGCTCTCCAAGAACCAAGGGAATAACTGAAGTGGACCTTGGCTTGGTGCTCAGGGCACGGGTGATAGAGATACTCAGAAGTGATTAGCCAATGGTGATGGCAGCCAGGGCAAGGCATCCCTAAGGGAAGAAGATGAATAGGAGAGAGCCCCAGAGATGCCAGATTGGGGACACAAGATGGGCAAACCCCAACCTAGTAGGTCAATCTGTATAGAGAAATGGTGTTCTTGTCACCAGTTATGGACCACAGGATAAGCCTGAAGGCAGGGGAGAGGTCCCAGCAGACATATCTCACACCACCGGGTTCTGAGCTGACCCAGCTTTGGGGCTGCTGAGTCTCCTCTGAAGCCAGACAGACTTCTTCAATGCCCTGAGGCCCTTCTCTTCTGCCTGTCTGTCCTCGTGGTCTTCTACCTGCACATCACAGCGTTACTTCCTGCTTGTGTTGGAGGTTCTGTATGTGACTGTGAGTATATATGCACATTCTGCCTTGTTTCACATTGGCCCAGAAGTCATCAGTTAGTCTAGACTGTCTGGCCAGCAATCCCCAGGGATCTGCTGGTCTCTGCTCTCTCAGCACTAGGATTATAAATATGTGCCATTGAAAGCAGCTTTATAATGGGGTTCTGGAGATTGAACCCAGGCCCTTATGCTTTCATGACAAGCATTTTATCAACTGAGCTCTCTTCCCAGTCCCCCACGTCAAAATTTAATTGAAGATGGATTGACAATGGGGTGATAAGGGCCTTAAAGAAGTATCGGGTGATGGGAGTACCAACCTCTCAAAAGAGATCATTTATAGAGATTGAGTTAGGGCTCTCAGAGGTGGGTGGGTCTCTTAGGATTGGATTGATATTTCATTTTGGATATAGAGCCTTCCGAATTCTATATTCTGAATATGAAGCATGTATTGAAGACCTAGTGGTTTATTGAGAGGTGGTTGGATCTTGGGGAAACCGGCATCATCAGTGAATAAGTTCCTACTGGATGGGCTCGTGTGGGGACGTAGGCGGGAGAAATAGCTCATATGGGATGTTCCCAAACCTGTCTCCCCTTGGCTTCTTAGCCATCAGGAACTCAATAGCATGTCTCACTACACTGACCCCTTCATGATGCTCTGTCTTGTCACATGCCCAAGGCGACGACCAAGGGATGCTGGGCGCAGATCTCTGAAACTGAGCTCAAACAAGTCTTTCCTCTTTTTATCACACTGACCAAAGGATGAGTAGTATAATTAATCACAAAGAGAGCGGGCACTTCCCAAGCGAGGCCACGCTATGTGCTTAGCTCCCTTGCACTGGGCTGATAGCATTTTCTCCTTTCTATCTGGAGGCCTCACCAAAACCACACTCATGGTTGTACTCTTAGACTTCAGTGAACTAAAGTAACCTTTCTTTGTAAAGTCATTTAGCTTCAGGTATTTTATTATAGCAACTGAAAATGGACTAAAACATCCAACCATGCTGAGTCCTTCCTCCCCACCTTTCCCACTCTTAGTCACAAACTCCAGGCATGGAGAGATACTCAACAGTGTCCAAAAACCAGCCAAATGAGAAGTAATATACCAAAGACTCAAGGGCTTTTCAGATTAGACCCAAATATCACATGAGCCTGCCATGACCTCTGGACACTTACTAGAGAACACTAATAGCAACATCAGAAACAACAAGTTTTGTTTTGACAAGCCATGTTCAACCTAGTATCTTCCCATCTTGACACTATGTGACCGGAGCAGCTCAGTCTTTCCTTGCCCTGAGATTTACACACTCCACCATGGCATGAACTCCCAGGGGACTCAAATGACAACGCCTGACAATGTCCACCCGGACCTCCATACAGTATCTACAGGGAACAGGCTGGGGGACCGAGGTGTTGGCTGAATTGCTTGGTTTCAATGTGAGCCCAGCATAGAAGGTCTGGAGGAAGCAGACTGGGGCTTGTAAGTGACACGAACATAGGCTGGCCATGGTTGCTCCCATTTGAGGCAGCAGTTTTATACCCAGCACCCTTTGGGCCCAGGCTGTGCCCCTCTAGCTTTCTCCAGAGGGCAGAGTGGGATGTGGTGGGGTAAGAGCTCACCATCTGTGGCCACATCCCTGATGGGCACATTATGCTTCTGTGCCATGTACCCCAGGAAGGAGAAGACGACGAAGCCAGAGGAGAAGCTTGTCAGGGAGTTAATAGAGGTGGTGATGATTGCGTCTCTGTAGGAACAAGACAGATGGTCCTGACACCAGTTAAGCTGTGGCTCTGGGAATGCCAGCCATTATTACCCATTTTCAGCATCTGGGCAGGGGGTAGGCAGGCTCAGAGGAAAGCCTCTGAGAGGAGCCTCATACTCCTGGGGTCTGTCAGGGCTCAGGGTGGAGGAAAAGATGACCACTTTGTATCCCACTTGCTGGACCATCATGGCACTGGGACCTGGGCATGCACAAGTTTGGGGACTGGTGAAACAAAGTTTTCATGGGCATATGTGTGCGTTAGAGTGCACTGTCTGGTGGATCAACTCTAAGCACTAATAATAAGGGACGGTGGTGAGTCTGGGTACCACTGGGAGGGTCAGTGTCTCCCAATGTGACCAATGTGCAGCAGAGGACCCATCGTTTTGCTGAGGAGTGCCTACGCATGGACACACATGAGCGTCAGGAAGGGCTTGTCCCAAGACTATATATCGTTCACACCCACCCTCACTTTATTTCCCTCCATGCAAATTCCCTCTGTGCCTGGGAACCATTTTTCTGTTTATTCTGTGCTTTTAGCGCTTTTTGTCCTTAGGATGAGAAAGCAGGCTTAAGTCCACTAAGCTCAGGAGGATAGATCTCGGCATTAGCTGCTCCTATTTTTCGGAGGGTTGGGATTCCAGCATGTGGTTGCAGGTGGCTCAGACCGAGGTTCTCAGGGCCAGGGGCGTCCTCCCAGGCCCAGGGTCCCTCAGTTTAGGCTATGAAGGTTACATCCAAATGCCCTGGGTGAAGGTCTTAGGTAACACTGGACCCTGAGCAAGGGAGAGAAAATTCATAGGGGCTGCCTGGGGGAGAGAGAATGGAGAAGAGACAGGGGGAGGCGGTCAAGGAGAGGTAAAAGTGGATATGCAGAGAAAGGGCCGGCCTGCTATCCTGTCCTGGGGACCTGGCTCTTCTCAGAAGGTGGCACATATCACCACATGTCTCAATATCTTCTTCAACTCGAGAAGCAAGAATTTGCTGGGAACTGCTGTGGGGAGCCAAGCATGGTGATTCCCACCTGTAATCTCAGCATATGCAAGGCTACTGCAGGAGGAGGGGCCATAATTCAAGGCCAGCCTGGGCTACAGAGTAAATTTCTGAACAACTTAGGATAGAGCATAAGGCCTTATCTCTGAAAAACAAAAACAAAAACAAACAAACAAAAAACAAAACTAAGGAAAAGAAATTGTGTGGTTCCAAAGTTTTGTGATTTTTTTTCTCTAGGAATGTTTTGTTTTCAAGAGGCAGACCCCAGCACCAGCCACACTGACTAAGTTTTGCAGACCTTCTTCCAGAAATAGTAGCTCAGGGCTTACCTATAGCAGTTGTTGGTGAACTTATTGTAACTGGAGAAGGCAATCAGTACCCCAAACCCAACGCCAAGGGAGAAGCACACCTGGGTGGCAGCATCGATCCACACCTGTCACAGCCAGAGGTGGGAGAGGGTGAGACAGATGATCAGAGAGAATTGTGGGATGCAAGTTTCACCTGAGGGGTGAATGGGAGCTGTCACCAGGCAATCGTCCAAATGACCCATATGCACTACATATGTCTGCCTCCAGCCAAGGCAGCAAAAGTTCTCAGCTTGGTGGTGGTAGGTACCTGCTGTCTCAGGAAACAGGCCCTCCAGCATCCCTGGCATGAAAGGACATGGCAAAAAAGAGGCTGTGTTTTTATGTATCACTTGTGGTTTCAGGAGGCACATGGACAGAGCCCCAGGCCACCTAAGGCCAGAAATAGATGTCCAGCAGATAGCAGGCTCATTTCTCTGAATGTGAAAAGAAAGACTCAAGAGCTGATAGTTGCACCAAAATGGTAACGTCAGCTATAACCTCTTTGAGTTAGGGCCAGGCTAAGATCACCTAGGGAGTCAGAACTGAATTGCTCCTGGGCAGTCTTGGTGGGAAGGTTAGGGAGGAGCTGCTGAAGTCTTCTCCCAGGGATCTGAGCCAGGCCTACAACCTGAACTGGGCAGTACTGGGAATTGTTTCTAAGTGTCCATAGCTCAGGATAGCCCAGGGTAACCCAGGCACTTAGACACTGAGACAAGAATATCAGAAGCTATCACTGGAATTTGCAGTGGACAAGCTGAGGATGTATGCAGTGGCCGTCCTGAGCTCATGGAGCAAGGGACCTGTTGCTGCTGAGGAGAGTGGATCCCTGGACTGTGGGAACCCAGACTATACGGGATCTGGTGTTGCTGTCCTTTGAGTAGCAATGCCAGAGTGTTGGGGAATGTGTTTTTTGAGGACAGGCATCCAGCCAGATGGTCAAAGTTGCAGAGACAACTAAGGCCCCAGCATAATGGAGGGACCAAGTCCAGAGTGGTTGAGCAAGTGGGGCAGTCAGTAGAGTGGTTGTGCCCTGCTGTCCTGTGTGGCCCCGTATCACAGCCAGCTCACTCATCGGGATGGGTCAGGGGGAACGTTATCACCAAGGACTTCTCGGTTCCCACTTACCCCCAGTGTTCACCCAGAGCTTTGTGTGTGCCATTCACCAGGCTCACACCATGCATTCTGCTTAGGCCACTGTCACACCCCACTCATACCTCCCTGCGCACTTCTCAGACACTTGGCTGACCTCACCTGGACCACTTTCCCTCAAGGTGCTAGAAAGAGCTTCTTTTTTTTTCTTTCCTGGTTGGTTCTTTGTGTTTATATATTTATCTAGGTATCTATTTCTATCGCTCAGTCATATATTAACAATAAAATCTATCAATATCTAGCACTATCTAGCATCTATCTATCATCCATCCGTTCAATCTTACTGCCATCTTAATTTCTCACAACCTCTCATGTAGCACCTTCTCACATGCAGTGTCTCTCTGTTTTATTTTGTGGGCTGCTTGTCTGATTGCTGAGACTTTAGGGGCCTTCACTTTTTTTTCTCTTGAATTCTCAAGCATGTCTTTCCTGACCCCAGCTTCTCCAGGCTCCCACAGGGGTGATGTCCATAGTCCTGGTTCTGGTTCCACAGATCCCTTGCTGTCCCCTACCTCTTCCTTCACTCTGTGGGACTGTGTGCATGCTCCCAGGCACTTTCACAGAGAGTTTGCTGACACTGTTACTCCCCACTGAACCTTCCTTATCCTGATCACATCAGCTCCTTCTTGCCTGCTTCTACCTCAGGTTTGAATCAGGCAGCAGACTCCAAAAGGACCTCGTAACTCAGCTCCAGTATGGATCTGCAGCCTTCCTGCTCTCTACACTGGAGACCTACATACCTTCTGCTCAGCTCACGCTCCAGCCCCAGAAAGATGAGCATACCTCCTGTCCTAGCCCCAATCCCAACAGAAACTTACACATCTCTAGCAGCCTACCAGTGTCTGAGCTTCTCTGTATTGCCATTGGATTCTATTGCCTATCCCAACACAGCCCAGATGACTTCCAACAACTCCTCGTGGAATTCTGTCACAGCTGCCCCTCTAAAATGGTTTCATTCCTTGCTTTCCAAAGATGGTGGCTGTCCTTTTCATCTCTTAGAACATCTCCCAAATCCTGGAAGAGCCCATCTCTCATAAGGCCTTCTCCAAATCTTCTAACCTAGAATAGCTCCTTCCTTTACTTAAGAAACCTCTAGTCTATCAGAAATTCAGACAGACTCCCAAAGACAGACCCTGGTTCATGGGGCCTTGAGGCAGCTCAGCCCTGCAGGCAGTTAACATGGAGCCACAGACTATGCTCTCAATGCCAAATGACACACACACACACACACACACACACACACACACAGCCCCTGGAACCAGTAGTACTACAGATAAAGAATGTGATGAGTGTTCAGGACACTCTGAATGGCATAGAATTCCATTCCTGTGGAGAGCCAGAGATGACCATCCCATGTCTCCTTTCTCTTCATCCTCTCAGCTCCCTGAAGGGTCTTATGACCCCTTCCTCCATCAACCCTGCCTATGAAGGAGACGGGTAGACAGGTGGACAGGCCAGTCCGCATCTGCTGACCTCATAGGATAGGGAGGAATTGCTGCTGAGCCACAGACTGGGCCCCTGAGTCATATGCTGGAGCCCTGTACCAAAGCCCCACTATCCCAGGGACTTCCAACCATGGGGGGGGGGGGCGATGCACTCACAGATGCCTCACAGAGTCGGTAGAAGTCCACACTGAGGTATGCTCTGATGCCATCCATGGCTCCAGGGAGGGTGACTCCACGTAGGAGGAGGGCTGTGAGGACCACATAGGGCATGGTAGCTGTGATCCATACCACCTGGAAGAGAAGACCATGTCTCCAAGTGGTGTGAGGCACCTGCAGGGGGACTTTGGTAGGGGCTTATATCGATGCATTTAGGGTAGTATGTGGAAAGGAGCGATTTGAGTCATGAGGGCAGGGAAGGAGAAACCTGTTATTGTTGGAGGGTTCCAGGTGTTGGCATATGTACCCATAACCAATATAACTCCCAAGTATTTTTACCAGTAAAAAATAAAATAATTTAGGTTCATGCTGGATACACCATTATGAATGATGCTTTCTCTCAACGCCCTAGCCCAAACACAATCCACCATCATGTGCCTACTGCTCTCACCAAATCATGGTCACCTGTCCACTCTCATTCAACCATGGCCAAATGTCTGTATACCCTGCTAAGGTTACATGCCAGCTCACCCAACCATGGGTGGCCGTACCACCCACCCAATAATGGCTGCATGTCCATACACCAATCATGGCCACATTATGCACTGACCACTGTCACATGTTCGCCCACCTACCCATGGCTACGTGTCTATTCACCAGCCCTAGACATGTTCCCCATCAACCAATGCCGCACGTTCACCCACTTAACATGGCCACATGAACGGAGACCTTGTGTCTAATCACCCGACTATGGCCATGTGCTCCCCTGCAATCGCAGCCACATGTTCCTTTACCCCACCATGGCCATGCGTCTACCCACCAACCATGACCACATGTCTACTCAGAAACTATGGCCACATGTTTATCTACCCACCCATCCACAGCCATGTCTTCTCAGGTCCTGTTGGTTAGTGCCTCACCTTCCCTGAGGTCTTCACTCCCTTCCATAGGCTGAAGTAGAGCAGAACAATGACCAGCACCAGGCAGGCTGTGAGCTGCCACCGTGGAGGGCCCAGGTCATCAATGCCATGGCTCTGGTGGAGGTGCAGCACACCACGCCTGGAGGAGAGGCAATAGTGATTCCGGAGGCAGCAGTTGTCTCCCAGGACTGGGGCACTGAGAGGGTCCCTATCCTCCTCATCCCTGTCATATGGAAAGTACCTGGTATGATCCGACTATAAATACCCCTTCCCATTGTGGAAGACCCAAGGCTGTCTTCCGAGTCACAGAACTGCTTTAAGAGGAAGAGAATCAGGATGCCTCACCAGGAAACCTGCATCAGATCAGCACTACCCTGTTACATCAACAAATCTGAGTTTTGGAGTTGGGAGGGAATGGGCAGCTTGGGCTTACAGATAAGTTGAGACCTCAGAAATTAGAAGGTACTGAGTGAAGCCACCATGTGCTACTATCTTGTAACAGTCCCAGGATTCTTTGCAGGAGTGAAACCAGGAAAGCCCTGAGCGGTAAAACTCCATATGCATGTTCCTGTGCATTCTGTATTGACTTCTCTCATTCTTGCTTTCGTAGTTCCTGCCACTCTAAGCAGCCTCTCTGAGGTGAATATGTGGAAGGTACACTTGCTTCCAATGAGCCTGGCAATGTGAGGGAGGCTGCACTCCCTTCAGAGTCAAGGGCTTTGATGCGGCTTCTGCATCAAAGCATGTGGAGGACTGCACAGTGAAAGAAGCCACCACAGCCCAAGACTTGTTTGACTGTGAGTCAGATAAGGTTTCCCAGGAAATTAATGTCCAGCCTCACAACAGAACACAACTGAACCCAGCTTTCTGGAGATTCTCATAAAAAAACAGGCATCCTGGCTCCAAGTTGGAAAACTTTGATCCCCACAGTCTAGGAACACACCTGGGATGCTAGTTGTTGCCAGCAGGGGCAGCGCAACACTGAAAATGCAGCTCAGCCCTTCTATCACACTCCCACAATAGTTAGGGCCAAGGTCCCCAGACAGGGGTCCCAGGCTGGTAAGGGTAGGGGGACAGATGGTTGCGCCGTGAGACTCTCACCATCATTCTCTTCTTACAGAGTGTAACTTGCTTGCTCAGCATCCTGTCTACCGTGAGTACTGTGCAAGCTCTTCTCTTGTGGGCATGTAGTATGAATCACCTGAGCTAAAGGAGACAGGCCAGTGCGCCTTCTGGTAGCATTATCAGCTCTGTCTAGTAGTGGGGATTCTTTTTTTCTGTCTGTCTATCTATCTATCTATCTATCTATCTATCTATCTATCTATCTATCTATCTGTCTGTCTATCTATCCACTTTACAGGCTGAACCTAGACCCCTCCCTCCTCTCCTCCCAGTCACAATCTCATGTCTCCTTCCTCCACTCTCCCTCATTCTTCTCAGAGAAGGGTACCCAAAGGGTACCAACCCATTCTGGCACCTCAAGTTACAGCAGGACTAAGCATGTTTTCTCCTCATAAGGCAGCCTATCTAGGCTAAAGGCAGGCAACAGAGTCAGAGACAGCCCCTGCTCCCACTGTTAGGGGACCCACATGCTGACCAAGCTGCATATCTGCTACGTCTGTGTAGGGAGCCTAAGTCCAGCCCATGTGTGCTTTTCAGTTGGTGGTTCAGTCCCTGTGAGCCCCATAGCCCAGGTTAGTTTACTCTGTAGGTCTTCTTGTGGTGTCCTTGATCCCTCCAGCTCCCTCTATCCTTCCTCATAGTGGAGATTCTTAAGTCCCCTGCCCTTGCCCTGGGCTGCTGTCCAGTGCTCCTTGCTTTGCTGTCCCAGTGGGACCTCATTTCTTAGAGCTTCTTAACAACACTGCCTGGAGCCAGAGAAAAGGGATGGGGGTTGAGAGCATGCGAGCAACTCTATGTGACACAATGGTTCAGCTCCTCCCAGAGGAAGGATGAGCTCCTCAGGAAGATCGTGGACACAGAGGGTCTGGCACCTGAAGCTACTGCCCCACATGACTTTATCAGTGACCATACCAAATCACTATTGACATGAGCTGGACTGTACCGCTTTGGTTCCATTTTGTAATAAAAGCCATGATGCTTTGGAGTATTGAAGATCCCATGGTCTGGAAGCTGGGGAAATGGTAAGTAGGTAGTATACCTGCCATGCAAGCATTAGGAACTGAGTTTAAATTCCCGGAACCTGCATGAAAGGCAGGTCTGTTGGTGCATACCTACAACCACTAGTGCTGGAGTGGGGTGCAGGGGACAGGAGGATCCCTGGAACTCATTGGCCAGCTAGCTTAGTCAAGTCAGTAAGCTTCAGGTTCAGCGAGAGTCTCAGAAATGCTAAGGAGAGGAATGACTGAGGAAGACACCCAGTGTCAGTCTCTGAACTTCACACATATATGCACACACAAACACATGTGAAGACACCCACGTGAATATGTACATATGACACACAAGCACATCCAGTAAGATGGAGAGTGATTAGAGAAGATAGCCATAGTTGACCTCTGTCCCCAACATAGACATGCACCTACACCAATGCTGCATGCATTCACACAGTATGCCCAGCTACATGAGCACATGTTTATGTCCATATAAACATTCATGCATATGCACCTACAGGTTTATGTACACACCCCACACAAACAGCACGTACATCGCACACAAGTGCATGGTATACAATGCACACAAGATATCATGGGCCGTTTAGAGGAGAGTCCAGCGCCCACCCCATACTGTTCACCTCCCCTCCCACCAATAGACAGAGAGCCCCATATTACACAGCAGGGACGATGCTCCTGAGAGTGGGGGCCTGCATCCAATGAGTACAGAGAGTTAGAGGTGATATTCAGAAATTTATGACACTTATGTGGTGTGCAGGGCCAGGCATGGTTAGCCCGGCATACTCACCAGCACTGAGGAAGGCTTCATAGTGTCAGTTCTTTTGTGCTCTCTTCAAAGCTGAGATCCTGGCTATGAGTCTCTTGCCTTAATAGGAATCTGTACCAGGGGTATCATGTACACAGTCTCTCCTGGGACATCCCCCCTCCTTCTCCCCATTTTACAGATAGAGAAATCAAGGCATAGAGAAGATAAGCTCTGCCAACAAGTAGCAGAGCTGAGATCTGGGCCCAGATTTCTGCCTCCGGCCCCATGGCAGCATACTACAATAGACAGATGAGACAAGTCTGTAGCCTGGCCCACAGAAGTGTGCTATAATGGAGAAGAGAGGCTTGAAGACAGCCTGGACCTAACCCTTCAGGAAGGGATATCAGACACTGGACTGGAGGTAACCCAGGACTGAGATTTGGGGGAGGGGCACATGGGGATGTATCCAGACAGTGCCTGCTTCCACCTGCAGGAACCCTCAGCCCTGGCAGGGTAGGGCAGGGTTCTGAGATCAGTTCTGCGTCTTGCTAAGTACAGGGAATGGACTGGAGCTCAGAGAGCCCAGAAAACTGCACACTACAGGGAAGAGTCTTGGAAAGAAGGGCCCTTCTAGAAAGGGTCTCCACAAATCTACCTGTAAGAGCATGAAGTTCTTCCTGAACACTGGGGTGCAGTCTGCAGGAAATTGGGGGTGGAGCAGAGGAGATGACTTACTGTTCACACAAAGCCCTCAAATCACAGAGAATGCACTCTCTTTCAAGGGAACCTCCTAGAACCACAAGCACAAAGCTTAAAGCCATAGAAAGACACATGACACCAACCCCTGACCTCCCAGAACAGACCTCATGCTCTTAAAGGAAGAGCAATGCTAAATACTATTTAGTGTAAAACTCACCAAATCTACCATCTAATAAAAACAATTGAACTCCATGCTGCATGGCAACACCAGCTACCCTGTAATCAATTAATCTCTGTAATTCCAGGACTTGGGAAGCTGCAGCAGGAGGATCATGAGTTTGAGGTCAACCTAGGCTTCCCGGAAAGACCTTGTCACAAACCAACAAGACAGAACTATTTGTGCTACCCTTCCCAACAGCAGTGACAATCCAACAGTTATAGAAAAATGGTTCTTCAGGACAGCAGCCTGACACTGACTCAGTGTGTTCTGACCTTGGTTCTTAGTTTATATTTGTTTCACACACACATTCTACCTCATACTGAAGTACTAAGAACAAAAGTGGGATTATGTAGCTAGTCTGGCCGGGATGAAATGTTCTAAAGAGACACTGTCCCTCACCTTTGGCCATTAAACTATTGAAATAATGAACCTCATGAAACTGAAGTCTCTCCAGGAATGTCATGTTGGCAGAAGAGAAAGCCTAGAGCCTGGGCCAGACAGAGAAGACACTTTTCTCTGAAGAGAGACTTACAGGTTGTTAGACTGCCTTACAGAAGAGATAGCGATAGGTCAGTGTTGTGCCTGTGACTGTTGAACACCATGACTGCCTGCTTAGTTATACATTAAGCCTGGCCCCCACTTAAGCCTTATGCTAATGGTGGGATCTCTGAAGATGGACTTGGTGGGAGCAGAGCTGAATATTTTGTCTCTTCCCAATGTGGCCATGTTGAATAAACCCACTTTTTCTCTTTTTTCACTATTAATCTGGCTCTTCTAATTGGCTTATGAAGAAGAAGAAGGAAAAAAAATGAGTGAAATCATCTGAAAACTTCACACCATATAAAAATGTATTTTGCTGGCCACAGCATGGGTAAGCATGATCTGTACTGGCAATCACAAAAAAGACGTGGGGAAGTGAGAGAAAAAGAGCGGGCTCTGAAAGGTGTATACAGTGGGGCAACATCGTTGGGATGCGGACTGGGTAAGTCAAGCCCCGTGGTGTCAATGTTAGCTGCTAGAAATGGACAAGCTAAGGTTCATTACCCAATAGTGCAAAGAAACGTAAGAATGAGAGTCAAATAATTCAAAAGAAGAGGGAGAAAGAGATAAAAACAATAAACAAAGAAATGAGGCCTATTAGAGAAAACGCGCACACTGGCAACTATTGGACAAAAATTCCAGTTAAAAGACAGAGATTGTTACACTGGAAAAAAAAAAAAAGAAAGGAAGAACCAGCTCTATGCTTCCTCCTAGTCACTCACTTCAAATGGGACACGCTGAGATTAAAAAGGGTGAAGCAGATTTATCAGGGAGCCACCTAATTATAAAAGGGGGCAGACTTATTTGAAACTAGACACAGTAAACTTCACAAGGAGGAATATAACCCAAGAGGGACATTTCCTGATGGGTAAAGGAACAAAATGAAGGCTTAACATTCATGAACACATGTACTTCAAAACACCCAATCATCAGGGCCAGTGAGAGAGCTCAGTAAGTAAGGATACTTGCTACCAAGGAGAGAACTGATTCCCATACATTTTCCTCTGACCTCTGCAGGCCCCACTGTTGTAAATGCTCATGTGTATATTTGAGCACACGCACACACACAAATAAATAAATAAATAAATAAATAAATAAATAAATAAATAAATAGAACAAAAACTTCAGCTTCAGATGAAGCAATAACCATTGATGCTATAAATAGTAACAGACAAAATCACAATTATAATTGAGATTTCAAAGTCCATTCTCAGTAATTTATTAAACAAGTAGACAGAAAATCACTAAATAAATTAGGGCCTGAACAACAATCTCAAACATGCATATCTGGCATTCATATAATGTTCTATGTTTCTCAGTCTAGCCTCAGTCTCCTAGGCTCAGATAAGTTCTGGGACCACAAGCATGCACCGTGCAATGTGGCTGGAATGCATGCAGAACATTTCCTGACAAAAACCATATCATAGGCTGCAAAACACATTTCAGTATGTAGTAACATTAAATTTTTATGAGTAAAACCTATAATACATGTTGTCAAGACAATTAAATTACAAGCTGATAAAAGAAACATAAATAGACAATCCCAGGATTTTAAAAAAAGTGTCTTCTAAAAACATCCTGTTATTAAAGTAGAAATTACAGTAGAGATTCAGGAACACTTTAAATTGAACTGAAATGAAAACATCAAAGAGTGAGATGTAGCTACAGCAGTCCAGTAGAGGCACATTTATAGCTTTAAATCACTAACTTTCTGATGATTTGTATTAGAAAGTAGGTGGACATGGTACTGAGCATTTAAAGAAGCCAGGGAGTCTTGAGTGGCTAGAGTTATATGGCCTTGTCGGAAGGTTCTACAGATCATATGCATTTTCTTGGTCTTCATATCTATTGAGTATACTCATAATTTCTTAGCACAACCACAGTCATGACAGTACTGAGCTTGCAGTTTCTGCTCTGAGCCTGCAGAAGTTCTTTTATGCATGCCTATTAAGAGTGGACACCCCATGTGGGAGGAGCAGTCTAGATAGGACACAGAGTAGGACATTGTAGCCAGTCCTGGTGAGACCTGATAAGCTAGGGTCAGATGGAAGGGGAAGAGGACCTCCCCTAGCAGTGGACTTTGGGGCAGAAAGGGGATAAGGGAGGGAGGGTAGGATAGGGAAGGAATGAGGGAGGGGGCTACAGCTGGGATACAAAGTAAATAAACTGTAATTAATATAAAAAATATTAAAAAAGAATGGACATTGAAGAAATGTCAGAAAGAGTAAGAAGACAGGCATGTGGGGAGAAATGTGTGGACTTATCAAAAGGACTCAAGCCTGTAATCCTAGCAGTGGGAGGTGGAGGCAGAAGGATCATGCAATGCAGGCTACATAGCAAGACCCTGACTTTAAATAAATAATAAAGAGTAAAGGGTAGCTGGGATGTATCTTAGTTAGGGTTTTATTGCTATGATGAAATACCATGACCAAAGCAAGTTGGGGAAGAAACGGCTTATTCAGCTTACTCTTCCATATCATCTTTCATCACTGAAGGACATCAGGACAGGAACTCAAGCAGGACAGGAACCTGGAGGCAGGAGCTGATGCAGAGGCCATGGAGAAATGATGCTTACTGGCTTGCCTCCAATGGCTTTGCTCAGCCTGTCTTCTTATAGAACCCAGGACCACCAGCCCAGGGATGGCACCACCCACAATGAGCTGGGCCCTCCCTATCAATCACTAATTAAGAAAAATCTTACATGCTTCTCTATGGTTCCATTTTATGAAGCATTTTTTTTTTTAAATTGAGATTCTTTCCTCTTGGATGACTTTAGCTTTGTCAAGTTGACATAAAACTGTCTAAACACAGGATGTGACTTTGTGGTAGATTACTTGTCTCACATATACAAGGTCCTGATTCAAGACCTAGAACCTTAAAAAAACAAAGAGACTAATGCGTTTAAGAGTCACTGAAATAAAAACAATTTTGCAAGTTAGCCAGTTGACACTGTCTTGACTCCTTATTCCCATAGCAGACACAGCCTTTCACTCTTCTCTAGAAGTAGTTTCTATCACTTTATTTAGTGGCTGCTGCCTGGAAGGGAAGTTGATGGAAGAGGTGGCTGACAGGAACATGGGACTTGCTGTGGTCACTCTCCTTGACATCCCTTTCATTGTTGGCCCTGGTAGTCATGGACTAAGCTGGCTGTAGGCACAGGAACCGGTTCTGCACAGAGGACCACCATGTCTGCATACCTTATCGTGGACAGCTGGATGGTTCTTGTAGAGTCAGAGCCTGGGGATGACATCCAGGATTTGGTGTCCCCCGAGACCTTACTGCTGTTCTCAAGGACACAGCAGACATGATCAGTGGCACTCTTCACATGTGTCCCTGCCAACCTGCTAGCTGTCAAATTCATGAGGTGGCATGACACAGGAACAGGAAGGGTGGGACTGCCACTCATGGACACCTGTGTTACAGGGCACAGCTTTCCTGTCAGCCACTAACTTGGTCTCTACATACTTCACAGGGCAATGTACACTGTCTTCTTGTCCCTCCACCCCATCCTAGTCAGCTTTAGTAAGAGCTCATCATCTGGCCAGGGCGACAGGCCTTTGCAGAGCACAGAGCTGAAGACCTCTGCTTTGCAGCCTTCCTTTCCAGACTTCCACAGCCTCATTTTAAAAGACAACAGTCTTTCCTTCATCATTCCTTATCACAAATATCTAGGTTAAGTACATTTTCCCTCTAATTTTCTTATCCAGAAACCACACAGAGGAATCAGTGCCCCAATGACTTACAAAGACAAAACCACACAGAGGGATCAACACCCCCAACGACTTACAAAGATAGATCAGGCAGCTCCCCAGACTCTCACTCCCTCTGACACCTCTGCCTTTTCCAAGTCTTTTAAACCATATTTCAGTCCATCTGGCAGTTGTGAAAGACACATGAGCTCAAAAACTTAGTCACCCTTTTCTCTGTGTATAAGCTGACCTCAAACTTGACTTGGCTCTTAGCTTCCTTTAGTGCAACTGATGGATCTCCCAAACTAACTCTTCTGCTGGAGTCCTCAGGCACTGGCTTCCTCCCACTCTTGCTGATCCCTCTGCTTTGGTCAGACACTGCTTCCACAGATGGGGACACTTGACAACCTTGTGTGTTAGGTTGGGGCTTTTCTCCTTAGAGTATTCAGTAAGAGAACGGTAATAGGGAACAGCCTTAAGAATTCACTAAAATCTAGTTCAACAGACAGTGGGTGTGCTCTTTGTTCTTTGAGTAATGCCATCATTTCTTGTTTGCTGGCCTTAGGAAAACCTCTATCTAAACATTCAGGGCAGTTCTTCCATTCAGCTCTCCAGTCTCAGGTCCTCCAATGAGCACTACTTTTAAAACCTTAAAGGTGGGGCATTTTGTTTTCCAAATGAACCTGTTTGACATTAAAGCAAAAATGGCTTTTTTTTTGCTAAGCTTCTGCTTTTCCTCTGTAGTCCAGGCTGGCTCCGAACTTGCAATTCTCCTGCCTCAGTCTGTTGAGTACTAGGGTCATAGGCACTGGCCCAGCTACAGCTTCTCCTGCTAAGTGGTAAGTGAAATCTTATACATTTAAACATGAGTAGTAAAACATTTCAAATAGGTCAGTAAGAGTTCAGTCCTACAAAGAACATCAGTGTCCATGGGAAAATCCTCACCTTGACAGCAACTGCTTCAAGTGCCTTTACTCATACCTGTCACAGAAGCCACACTTCAGCAGACCCTGCCTTAGTCAGAGTAGGACAGCCAGCACCAGCAGTGTCCTAAGAGAGGCAAGGCATCTCCAGAGCTTCATGGAGGAGCCAGACTATCTTACACATTTGTAAATTTACATCTCCATAGCTACCATCTTGAAAATCATACAGGGGAAAACATTGCCTATAACAGTATGGCTCTTTGTGGTAAACATTCACATTCATACACAGATACATATGTGTGCACACATACACACACAGGCACACATGTACACACATATGAATGAATGTACACATGCACACATGCCTCAACTCCAAGAAAGGTCAACAGTGAGCCTATGGGGTAGATGTCACAGCCCTTCCAGGATAGGCTACCTAATGATGAGGAATGGCATAAAGAGCTGATGGGTGACAGAAGGACTCAGAGAAACAAATTCCATGAAGGGGTACTAGCCTACAGGTGGATGGTAAAAGGCCAGGCCTAACAAGGAGATGACCTGGCAAGAAGACAGAAAACCAGGAAGTCTCGCTGGAGATGAGAGTGTACCAGCATTGGGAAAGGAAAGCTAGCATCATGCAAGGAAAAGAGAGACAGTGAAGTAAGTGAAGATGTTTATAAAAGAGGAAGCCTCGTGGCAAGGGGACAGCCCTTCAACCTGTCAGCAGTCTGCCTGTGAAGCTGAGGCACCCAAGCAGCAATGCTCAGAGAGCTCCCTTTCTGGAGCTAACAGAGAGCTTGCTTGTTCTGTGTCCTGTGTCCTGGGAGCTTGAAGCCAGAGCCTCCTTCCTTCTAAGCACTGCTGCAGTGTCTTGGGAGGCTCCTTCACACCCACTATGCAGGCAGGATGGAACAAGTGGGCAACAGTCCAAGGTCCATCCCTCCTGAGGCCCCCATTATTAGAGTTTGGCTAAGGATGTATGAGACCATCCTTGTGCAATTCAGAAATATACTGCATAAGGAACAGGGCTCAGCACCTATTGGCAAGGATAGGGATGTGTTCAGCACATCTTTGAGAACAAAAAGGTGGGTTGGTATCCTCAGTGCTTCTCCTGAGTTCCCAGACTGTCAACCCTCCCATTCTCCAGGCTGACAGGAAGAACTGACCACTCACTTACTCAAAGTACTCAGCAGCGGGCGTGGTCCCAAAGGTGTCATTGAGGCCCAGGCCATCGCTAGAGTTGCTGTAATGGGCGTCAGAGCAGTTAGGGCTGTTCCAGGTGTTGTTGCAGTGGATCCATGGGAGGTCCATGGTGAAGGAGGAGAAGAAGTAGTGGAGTGCCCATGCGATGATGACGTTGTAGAAGAAGCCCACGTAGAAAGAGATGAGGATGACAGTGAAGCCCACACCTGGTGATGACAGTAGAGCCACCATCAGCAGGATGACCAGTATCTAGTCTCCGAGCTGGTGCACCGATATCAACACCTTAAAACACACAGGAAGGATGGGTGCCAGGCCTTATCCTATGATTACAGAGAAGGGTTTGCCACTTTTCAAAATCATTTGCATCTACCAGAGACTTCAATATGTCTCAGAGAGTCATTGAGAAGCAGAAGGGTCATCAAAGGCCATCAGAAAGTATCTGAGACCACCCTCTGAACATTCAGGTATTCCCTAAGGGTCAGCCATAGATATACTAGACCATCCAGGGTCACCCACAGCCAAACAGAGTTACTAAGACTGTTCATTTCCACCATAGTCACTCAAGAAGCAGCCAGGGTCCTTTAGACACATCTAGTATCATCTATAGTTTCCTTGGATCATTCAGGAAAGCCAAGCATAGTTATCTATGGCTATGGGATCCACACCAAACCTCTAGAATAATACACAACCATTGGGGCCACCAGAAACACTCATGATAACAGAGCCATTAGAGGATACCTATAGTCACCCAGAAATGCTCTAAGCTATCCAGAGCCACCAAGAATCATTAAGAAACAACTAGAACCCTTTATGGCCATCTACAAGAACTAAGGTTTATTCAAAACAATCAAAAGTTAATTACCCAGGGAAACCCAGGACCACCTAGAATTGAACAGGCCATATACAACAATCTGTATTTATGCATATCTGTTAAGGCTACCCAGAATCTCTCAAGACTTAGTCATTGATAACTACTTATGCCCTTTCTCCAAGACCACCCAGGACAGTCATCTAGCATGTTCACAGTCACCTAGAGCTCTCAGGCCATACAGGGTTACCCAGGGGATTCAAGGATTAGTCAGAGTAAAACCAGAACAACTAGGTGCACCTAGGGTATATTAGATCACCAAGGACTATTCAAGACCATCCATGGTTTCACTTAACTGCTATGATTACCCAAGGCTTTGTAGAGATCACTAAACCTGGGATTTGAGATCAGCCATTTTGTGGGCATTTCTGTAAACTGGAGTAGAACACAGAGGCAAGAAGTCCTCAGAAAACGGCCATCCTGAGCAGTGGCAGATGGTCAGGCAGTTAAAATGCTCCTCACATTGGTCAAGGGTTTCCTCCATGCTCCATGCTAAGTAAGCACAGTCACATTCCTGCGACTGTGATTCATTTGACTGAAATACATGCAGAATTCTCATTTGAGTATCCCTTCTCAGCTTTGAAGACATAATTGTTTGGGTTTATGACTTTTGTTGACTTTGTTAAAACTTGATTAGACTCCGTGGCTTTTCTGGTTTGCTTGGAGAGGAGTATGACTTACAGGTGAATTTTTCAGGTTGTGTCTTAGTTGCTTTGGATGGTCTTTGGAGAAGGTCTTTTCATGCTCAAGGTTATTTTCCTTCTATGAAGGCAAAGAGAAGGAACTAAAATGTATTTGTGTTAAGCCCAGAAGAATCAGTGGACTTACTTGAATGTGCTCAGAAATAGAAACAGTAAAATCCAAATTGTTTCCTTTGGAAAGCCTTCTCCTGTATAGAAGTAATCAAGATCAAACCACGTCACATTACAGTTTCATTCACCAAGCTCCTTAGGAGAAAGGCTTTGATTTACAGTGAACTCATCAGGCAGCCATTTTGGGAAGCTATGTTGTTTGTCAGCCATGTTGCCAGAGAGCCATGTTGTCATAATCCCCATTTTTCCAAATTGCATAATGAAGGTTTTTCCTGAAAAGTGGCTGTTAGTGGATGCCCCATTTGAAACTTTTTAAGGATAAAAACTTTGTATCTGACGTCCTCAGCTTGAAACTTTAGGAACTCAAAGAAACCTTTGATCATCTATTATGGTGAAATGTAAAGGCAGGGTCTGAAGAAAGAGCTGACTGTGCCCCTCGTCCTTTGGGGACATTGCTGAGTGTGGCAGGAGTGTTCCATCTGGGCTTTACAAGAGAGTGACAAGAACACCTTTCTTCACAATGGAGAAAAGTCTGCCACCAACTGATGTGGCTTCCATTGCAAATGGGCTTACAAGTGAGATGACTTGCAACAGACCACCCTCCCATCTATATCTCTTTGGCTGTCCCAAATGCTGGGAAAGGAAAATGTCTCCTGGGAAGGGGGGCAAGAGTTGACTATTGAGTTGGTCACTATGAGCTCTGCTCCTCAGGAATACAGAGCCCCAGAAGGCCACTAGCTTCAGCTGCAGAAGCCTATCACCAACCGGCCAAAACTACTGGCTTCCTCCTTTATGTCCTATAAGACATGGCCTTTAAAAATCTGCCCCACCACATGTTCTTGTTTGCCATAAGAATGTTCTTATAGCTGAGTATAATGGAGTATACCTGAAATCCTAGCACTTGGTGTACTGATGCAGAAGCATCACTGTGTGAGGTCAGCGTGGGATATAGAGTAAGACCCTGTTTCTAACAAAAAACAAAACCAACAAAAAGAGCTGTCTTGTGATGACTGTTACCATATTGCATATACTCTAACTATAGCTCCACTTGTTGCCCTTTCTTATCATAAGCACAGGCTGCAAAATTTACCAGGTTATAATCAAGACAGGGGACATTCTCATAAATCTGGGTGGTTTTAGTGACTACAGTGCTCTCTCTCTCTCGTATATGTGTGTGTTTACTTACATCAGAGAGATAGACGTGGAGAAAGAGAGCAGGAGGGTAGAGAAAGAGAGAGATTTAAGAACCCTTTCCTCAGAGATCCCATGAGTTGCCTTCAGATGATGAGGCCGCTCCAGCTTCTGTACCCACCCTCAAAGCTAAAGCTGTGATGACTCATGAAATCAAATGAGAGCTGGCCCTGATTTCCATGTTTCTCACCTTGGACTTCATTGCACCTCTACCTCACCTGAGACTTCTCTGTCCTCCAACTTAGACTTTACTTTCTGGCCCTCATCTTGTCCTCACTGTCCTCATCTTGTCCTCACTGTCCTCACTGTCCTCACTGTCCTCACTGTCCTCACTGTCCTCACATTGTCCTCACTGTCCTCACCTTGTCCTCACTGTCCTCACTGTCCTCAC